ATCGTTATCATCATCATCATCATCATTTTCATCATCATCATCATCGGGACACCATCATCATCATCTCATCCTCATCATCGACATCATCATCACCAGCATCATAACATCATCATCAGCATCAACAGCATCATCGTCATCATCGGGGCACCATCATCATCATCATACCAACATCAGCATCAACATCATCATCATCATCACCATCGGGACGCCATCATCATCAACATCAGCATCATCATCACATCAGAATAATCATCATCATCATCGGGACGCCATAATCATCATCAACCTCATCATCATCATCATCGGGACACAATCATAATCAGCATCATCAACATCAACATCATCATACTCATCATCATCGGGACACCATCATCGTCATCATCATGATCATCAACATAATCACCATGATCCTCATCTCCTCATCATTCGACATCCATAGCATCATCATCATCATCGTCATCATCATCATCATCATCTATCATCATCAATCATCATCATCATCATCATCATCATCATCATCATCTATCATCGGGAACACCATCATCATCATATCATCATCATCATCATCATGCGAATCACCATCAATCACATCATCATCATCAATCATCAGCAGCATCATCATCCCATCAGCATCACCATCATCATCATCATCATCATCATCAGCATCATCATCATCATCATCATCATCTCATCATCCTCATCATCTCATCTCATCTCATCATCATCATCATCATCATCATCATCATCATCATCATCATCATCATCATCATCATCATCATCATCATCATCATCATCATCGCGGGACACCGCGGGACACCGTCGGGACACCGCGGGGCACCGCGGGACACCGCGGGACACCGCGGGACACCGCGGGACACCGGGGGACACCGCGGGCCACCGGCCGCCCGGAAGGGAGACATTTGTCCGGCCGCGCCTCAGCCACACGGGACATTTGGTCCGGCCGCGCCTCAGCCACAGGAGACTTTCTCTCGCCCGCCCACGCAGCTTCGCCTCGCCCGCACGCACGGCACGCACGAACACGAAACCGAAATCGATTTCCCTGTAGGGGGGCTCTCCGTTCCACTTCGATCTCACCCCTTCACCTCCGACATGTATATATACACATGCACATGAAAATCTAGAGATGATTGTTTATAGGAGCATACGAAACAACACACGAAATTCGTGCTCCGGGCCACAGGAGAAGAGCAACACGTAGGAACACACGTAACACACAAACGAATCGGGTCCCAGGAAGGGCCTCATTCTGATTGGAGCCACTCGGGAGGGGCCATCGACAGGGACATACGTAGCATACCAGTGATTGGACCTGAGCGCAAATGAATCTGGCCGCCAACACAGGCAAATCGCACGGGGCATCCTCACAAATTGGGCCCCCTGGGATACGAACACCAGCGCTTCGCCCGAGACGTCCTCAAAATCTGCTCCGAAAGCGAATGATGTTAGGGCGGAGGCGCAGGCAAACAGCTCAAGACATCCCCGCAGTCTGAGCTCCTCGCGGTGCTAAAACCAGCGCCTCGCCTCACCTGAGACATCCCCAGAATCTGCTCTGAACACAGACGAGTCTGGTCGCCAAAACAAGCAAACCGCCCGAGACATCCTCGCAATCTGCCCCCCCCCCCCCCCCCCCCCCCCCCCCCCTCCGGGTGCGCCAACCAGCGCCTCACCCGAGACATCCCCAAACTCTGCTCCGAAAGCAGAAGTTGTTATGCACGCAAACGATCGAACCGCTCGATACATCCCCGCAATCTGGGCGCGAACGGAGGAGTGCAACACCCCTGGCGCCCCCCCCCCCTTGGTTTGCTGAAACCAGCGCCTCGCCCGAGGCATCCTCAAACTATACATCATCACCATCATCATCATCATCATCATCATCATCATCATCATCATCATCAGCAGCAGCAGCAGCATCTTCATCATCGTCCGCATCAGCATCAGCATCAGCAACACCAGCATCAGCATCAGCATCAGGATCATCATCGTCATCGTCAGCAGCATCAACATCGGCATCAACATCAGCAACATAATCATCACCATCATCAGCATCACCATCATCATCACCATCATCATCATGGTCATCGCCATCATCATCACCATCATCAGCACCACCACCACCACCGTCACCGTCAGCATCAGCATCATCATCAACATTACCAGCACCACCATCATGATCTCCAGCATCATCATCATCGTCATCATCATCGTCATCATCATCAGCATCAGCATCAGCATCATCATCATCACCATCAGCATCAGCATCATCATCGTCACCGTCATCGTCGTCGTCGTTATCCATCCCCATCATCATCCTCATCCTCGTCCTCGTCCTCATCCTCACTCTCATCAGCATCAGCATCAACATCAGCATCAGTATCAGCATCATCGTCGTCATCAGCAGCATCATCATCATCCTCACCAGTACCACCACCACCACCATCATCATATCAACCCCGCGACTCCAACGAAGGACCCATGGGGGCCCATCCGGAAGGAAAGAACTTCTGGGGCGCGCCCAGGAACCCAGGGGGTCCGGTTTCCGCGGAGGAAAGAAACAATCCCTGGCGAGGGATTCGAGCACGGGGGTTACCCCCGCCTCAAGTTCCAGAAGAGGAATGAATTCTCAGCCGCGGGGGTGCCCGCGCGAGGGGTATCAACCCCCCCAGCGCAACCAGAGGAGGAAAAGCGTGAGAGTCTAGATTGTAAATGCAATGCAGCAACACTCTAATAGTGGTTGCACTAAGGAGGTGTGCGGGAGTTGTACCAAGGAGTCCTACTGGGAGTTGTACTGGGAAGTTGGACTAGCACTCGGGAGTTGCATAGGGAATTGCACGAATGGAATGGCACCACAGTCAACCAGGATAACAAGGATGCGCGGTAAGGATGCGAGGACCTTGGAACGCCATGTTGAGGTTTTCCGCGCTGAGCGCGGCCGAATGCCGAAGGATGCAAGGGTGCCCTGACGCGCCGCCATCCTTGCCGAACTGGCGCCTGGGCCACAAGCAAGGACAACGCAAGGATGCAAGGGTACCCGTGGGAGTCGCGCGTTCCTGGGGGCACGGCGCCACCGTCATGGGCATCTACTGGCAGCGCCTACCTTGGTGGCAAAGATGCGCCAGGAAGCCATCCCTGGCCCGCGTTTTCGAGCGTAGTCGGAGGGGTTCAGGGGTTCCAATGGCAACTCGCGCGCGGAAGGAAGAAAGAAATCCATGCGCCGCCAGGGGTCCCGGGTTTAACGGGTCGCCGCGAAGGCTGACCCCCCGCGGAAAGAAGAAAAGAAATCCGGCCAGGGGGGTGGGGGGTTCAGGCATGAGTCGCGGGGCTGATATCATCATCATCATCATCATCATCATCATCATCATCATCATCGTCATCATCATCATCATCAGGATCAGCATCATCATCATCATCATCATCATCATCATCATCATCGTCATCGTCATCGTCATCATCATCATCATCATCATCAGCATCATCATCATCATCATCGTCATCATCATCATCATGAGCATCATCATCATCATCAGCATCAGCATCATCATCAACATCAACATCAACATCGTCATCACCATCATCATCATCATCATCGTCGTCATCATCATTTGTATCGGCGAGCGTGTGAGTCAACATCCTCACCATCACCACCACCATCATCGTCATCATCGTCGTCATCATAATGTGCAGCATCAGCATCAGCATCCGCATCATCATCATCAGCATCATCACCATCATCAGCAGCATCATCAGCATCACCATCGTCATCATCATGGTCATCGTCATCATCATGACCATCATCAGCACCACCATCATCGTCAGCATCAGCACCTCCATCATCATCATCATCATCATCATCATCATCATCATCATCATCAGCATCATCATCAGCATCATCATCAGCATAATCGTCCTCATCGTCATCATCATCATCGTCATCATCACCAGCATCATCATCAGCATTAGCATCAGCATCATCATCGTCATCGTCATCGTCGTCATCCATCCTCATCATCATCCCCATCCTCGTCCTCATCCTCACTCTCATCAGCATCAGCATCAGCATCATCATCAGCATCAGCACCAGCATCATCATCATCGTCGTCACCATCAGCATCAGCATCATCACCACCACCACCATCATCATCAGCATCAGCATCATTATCCTGTGCATCATCGTCGAGCGTGTGAGTCAACATCCTCAGCACCACCACCACCACCACCACCAGCAGCATCATCATCATCATCATCATCATCATCATCATCATCACCATCACCATCACCATCGTCATCATCATCACAAGAGGAAGGAGGAGGAGGAGGTGGGATTCTCGTGCTTGACGCTTTCGGAATGATAACAAGCACCCCATCCTCAGGGTATGTGGATGGAGGGCGGCTCCTTTTCACGGATGGAGGGCGGCTCACGGATGGAGGGCGGCTCCTTCACGGATGGAGGGCGGCCCCTTTTCAAAATGTGGCTCTCGCCTTAGCGCCACGCACATTCGCTTTAAGGGTTCACAGAAGCTTCAAGGATTCTCATGGTAAGGTCCCAGACATGGTGTTTGGGCCAGGTGTTGGGCTCAGGGCGCACACAGTTACGTTGATTCGTGGCGTTGAAGTCCCAGAAATGGTGTTCTAGCACGATTCAGGCTCGTCAAGACGCAACAGTAACGGTGATTCGCGGCGTTGAGGTCCGAGAAATGGTGTTCTGGCTCAGTTCAGGATTTTCGAACGGCTGTTTTCCAACGGAGCACTTCCTCCAGTGAATATGAACCCTTGTAGGGGCCTATGAAGAGGTAGTTTGGAGGAAGGGTTTCCTGCAACATCGTTGATGAGTTTGGGGTTTACCCTTGTCTCTCCTCCTCCTCCTCATCCTCCTCCTCCTCCTCCTCCTCCTCCGTAGCCATTTTTGGCTCAAGGGGCTGGCTCGCCAGTTTTGCTCCGCGCACCCTGCATACGGTTCCCTCGTGCCCTCGGCCCAATTCGCC